TACTACCCAGACCAACCCAGGGCATAATCTGGGGGTTCTCTTGGACTTGCTTGACTGAATATGTAGCAGTCATATTCAGAAGGGCTTTTACACAAATGTTATGTGCCAATAAGCCTTTCACAATCACCCTCATCCTGATCACCTCTCATTTGGACTAATGTGCTCTACCCTTGAACAGCATCCAGAAGCAGCCCACTTGGTTTTGTGCAAGTCCATTTTTGCATCTCATTTGCAGGAGTGGTTACTGGTTACTGATTTGCTTCTGGGTGCAATTCAGGTGCTGGTTATTACCTTAAAAACCTACTTGGATTGAGATCAGGTTATTTGACAGACTGTTTCTTCCCAAATACATATACTTGGTCCACCAAAGTGGGAAGGAAAGGCATTTGTCAACTCCAATGACCTAGGAAAAGAGGCTTCTCTTTGGTGATTCCCACCCTTTGAACATCATTCCCCTAGATGTAAAATTGATTCCCATCTTGTTGCTTTTTTGCAAGGCCTTGAAGACATAGTTTTGTCAATGGACTTGGGGACCCCTATTTGGAGCCAATTAAGTGGCTTGTCTGATTCTGTTGTTACTGCCACAGGGTGGGGTGGGGTTAAACAGTGGATTTTCTATGTTGTGCATCACCCAGAATCGCTGTGTGTCCATTGGGTGGCTGTATAAATATGTTCAATAAATAAACCAGTGGGTTCTAATTGGATTGTTATATAGCTACATAGAATATATATTATTTAAATTAGAGATTTAATAAATAAATAAAGTAGTACTATCTAAGGCACAGGATCCTAATCCAGATTAAAGGATTGATATGTTCCTTAATTAGGGATGTCTCATGCATACTGCATTATGGAATAAATATTATTTAAGTTAGAGCTATATACAAGAAACAAGACCAAACACGGCAAGTTTCAAGCAACCATCCTTTAAGGTGGAATATCTTGTTACTAGTAGCTTGTCTCTAAATATAGAAATCAATATCACTACATTTATTTTTACAGTAAATAGAGCAGGTATATGGAACACACAAGGAATAAAACTCAGCTACCTCTACACATTTACTATCAGAAAATAATTTAGAAGGTCAAATGAGTAAGTCATATTGCACAGCTTCATTGGTAATGAACACTCACAAACAATTCCTAGATATTTTTATGTAATATCTATTTCTCCAAAGCAAAACAATAATAAAAGAAATGGGTATATACACCTTTTCTTGTTTTGTAATTTAGACTTTCAAATTAACGTGAAAATTGGACTATCAAAAAAGATAGGGATCAATTTGGTATAGAGATGAAGTACAACAATTTGGATAAAATTATGTTGGGGACTGAAAAGAAAATGCTAGCGAGATTTTACAACTTCTTTTTAGGCGAGGACAGAGCAGAAGGAATAGCTAGGAATCAACTAAGCATTTGGGAAAAAAATATTGGCTATAGACTAAATTTCAACGACTGGGAGGAGGCTTGGAATAGAAATTATAATCTCACTAAATCAGCAATTTACAGGGAGAACCACTATAAAATATTTCATAGATGGTATCTAGCCCCAGCTAGACTAGCAAAAATATTTCCCAGTGCCTCAGCAATATGTTGGAAGTGTGGAAAGGAGGTTGGCACCTTCTTTCATATGTGGTGGTCCTGCCCAGAGACAAAAAAGTTTTGGATAAAAATATGAATCTGGCTACGAGAAATACTGGAAGAAGATATAAAACTTTCCCCTGAAATCTTTTTATTAGGAATGATGGGAGATGGACTCTCTAAGGACAAGATACAATTAATTATACATGTTATAACAGCGGCCAGATTAACCTTTGCAAAATATTGGAAGGACAAACAAACCCCTCCAGAGATGACAATAATAAATAAAATCCTAGAATGCGCAGAAATGGCAAAATTAACAAGTGTTCTTAAAGACGATGAGAACTCAAAATTTAAGGCAGTATGGGAAAGGTGGTACAAATGGTGGAATAATAGAACGAGACTATAAGGATATGTCTATTTCAAATAATGGTAGATTTGAAGATACTTGATATGTACATAATGTAAATATGTAACCGCACGACACCTCAGATGTTAATGGAGATTTGATGTTTTCTTTTTTAATTTTTTTTTAAATCAATAAAGTATTAAAAAAAAAATTGGACTTAGTCTCCAAGGAATTATATAGAAACACAATAGAAAACAAAAGGTGACATAACTGCTGTTCTTTTTCATTCCTCATAGCACACGAGAAGAGGCAACATATAGTAGGTTGACTTCCAGGAAAAATTAAGACCACAAAAACAGTGGTAAGGAAAGACAATCATGACTAAGTACTCCATATTTCAGTTAGGAAATAATTGAGAAATGCTACATATAGGAAGAACGTAATGCATAGTGCAATAGAAATAAGTCTTTGCTCTGTATCACTGATTTTTATACTGTATAACACTGTTTTTTCTCACAATGAGCCACGGTGGCGCAATAATTAGAGTGCAGTATTGCAGGCTATTTCTGCTGACTGCCACCTCTCTGGAATCTGGCAGTTCAAATCTCACCAGGCTCAAGGTTGACTCAGTCTTCCATACTTCTGAGGTGGGTAAAATGACGAAGCCAAATTTTTGGGGGCAATATGCTGACTCTGTAAACCCCTTAGAGAGGCCTGTAAAGCACTGTAAAGCAGTATATAAGTCTAAGTGCTATTGCTATTGCTATTTTGTCAAAATCTGTTTATTAGCCTTAAGGTCTGAAATATGGCAAAAGTAAGTTAATGCTCCAACCTGTTGAAAATATATGACTTGACACGTATGTACTTTTTTCAAATATTCACATAAGCAAAATAATTGAATTTTACACCAATTGTATATCATGTAAGCAGGAATCAAGTTTCATAAATCAGATTATCAGAAGAAATATGTCAGGTATGTCAATGCTTAATGATCTCACAATAACAGAGAAGAACCTTATAAACATTCAAAGGTATTATTTATTTATTTATTTACAACTTAGCAGAAAAGAAATCTAATTTTGCTTTCCTCAGATAATAAATAATGATTTGATTATATTGTTTAATATTTATTTAATTTAACACAGATCTAACACAGGTTAAATTGCAATTACTTGCCCATTTACATAGCTGTGGGTTTCATTGAACTCAAGGAACATAGTCTACACAACCATGTATATGAAAGATGAGATTGTACTGGAGTGCTTTATAAAATGTTGGCATTTGCATATTAATGTCAAGCATTGGGTGATAATTTTATATCCAGTTTAAATCAAAAGAAGTTATTGTTGAACAGGAATGTATAAGATTGTCCTGTTTCTCTGTTTCTCTGCCTCTAACTCTGCCTGTCCTTACCCCCATTTCCAAGGTTTTCTAGACCAACACCCTGCTCAGGCATGAAAACCTATACCATTTCAGACAAATGATTGTCCAATCTCTTCTTTAAAAACTTGGAGTGTTGGAGCATTCACAACTTTTGGAGGCAAGTTGTTCCATTGTTTAGTTCTTCTAAATGTTAGGAAATTTCTCCTTAGTTCGAGGTTGCTTCTCTTTTTGATTTCCAATCATTACTTCTTGACCTGCCTTCAGGTGCTTTGGAGAATAGATTGATACCCTATTCTTTATGACAACCCTTAGATATCGGAATGCTACTATCATATCATCCCTAGTTCTTCTTTTCATTAATCTAGATATATCCAATTCCAGCAACTCTCCTTTATATATTTTATTCTCCAGGTTCCTAATAATCTTTGTTGCTCTTCTCTGCATTTTTCTAGAGTCTCAATATCTTTTTTATATTATGGTGACCAAAAGTATTCCAAGTGTGGTCTTACCAAGACATTATAAAGTAGTATGAACACTTAATGTGATCTTGATTCTATCCATCTGTTAATGCAGCATAAAATGGTGTTGCTTTTTTGGCAGCTGCAGCACACTGCTGGCTCATATTTAAGTGATTGTCCACTAAGACTCCAACTCTCTCACACAGTTACTGCTATTGAACCAGGTATCAACTGTATTATACCTATGCATTTTGTTTTTCTTGCCTAAATGTAGAGCCTTACTTTTTTACCATCAAATTTCATTTTATTAGATAGGACCCAATGTTGAAGTCTGTCAAGACCTTTCTGTCTCTTAAGCCTAAGTGTTGGGTATTTCTGCCAGCTTGGTGTCATCTGCAAATTTGATGAGTTCCCCATCTATCCCCTCATCTAAATCATTGATAAAAATATTGAAGAGTACTAGGTCTAAGATGGAACCTTCACTGACTCTCCAAGATAACATTTCCTGCTTACATTCCATTCTTGGAACTATCCATATGTTGGATATCATATTGTTTTATGACAAATATAATAATCTTAATTGATTTCTTTATCTGATAACTTGTGAACACCAAAATATAAATAAATATTTTGATAAATAACAAAATATTAGACATAAAGCTATGCTAGTACATTTAGTAAGAAAAAAGGTTCATGTTATAAATGTTAAAGTCAAGTGCTTTCTATGAAGAGTTTTCTGGGTGAAAATTAGCATCTTTAGCTGTATCTGCTAATCAGTGCAGCTCATGGAACTATGGAGTCATGTGAACATTATTGGATCCCTTCATCATCAAGTCCACCTCAATGTTTGGGGTATAAGTCTTCCTATAAATTACCTATAAAGAATCAAATATACAGTTTTATTTAGCCTTGTTTACTTTATTCAGTACTATATCATCATTTTTTAAAAATGTCCTTGAGGTAGCAGAATCTACACAAAATGGGTTGTTATAAATTGGCATGTATAACACAGACGGAAAATAATATCATATTTGTTTTAGATTTTGAAATGTATGAACTCCCTTTTACATTTTGAAAACAGGTAAAATATTTTATTTTAAACATGATAATTATAACATATTGGTTTTCATATGTTACTATTGCAGTGAATAATTCCATACCTATATTTATTTCCTAGACTATTTTCCTATGATACTCTCTTTCTGTCCAGAAGAAGTCAGAGAAAATAAATGGCCAACCAATCCATTGTGACAGAATTCCTTTTGATGGGATTTTCTGATGATCATGATTTGCAAATTATGTATTTTGTGATGTTCCTTGTCATTTACTTACTAGCTTTAATTGGGAATTTACTTCTTGGTGTTGCTGTGATCTTGAACCACCATCTTCACACTCCTATGTATTTCTTTTTGGTCAATTTGTCATTCTCTGATGTTTGCTTTATCTCAACTACAATTCCTAAAGCCATGGTCGCTTCTTTGACAAATAACAAGCGGATCTCCTATGCTGGATGTGCTGCTCAGGTCTTCTCAGTTTTCACCTTTGCAGGTTCTGAACTTGCCTTGCTGACTGTTATGGCTTATGACCGTTATGTGGCCATCTGCCACCCTTTGCAATATATGCTTGTGATGAACTGGGGTGCCTGTTTACAAATGGCAATTGCTTCCTGGATAAGCACTTTGATCCATGCTTTGCTACACACCATTCTCAGTTTCAGGTTAAATTTCTGCAAATTCAATAGAATTGAGCAATTTTTCTGTGATGTTCCTAACCTATTAATGATTTCTTGTACTGATAAAACAATTAACCAAATTCTGATTTTGGTTGTAGCGATCATTGTAGACTCATTATGTAGTGGGTTCATTTTTATTTCCTATGGCTATATCTTCTCTGCTGTTCTGAAAATTCCTTCAGTTCAAGGCAGATATAAAGCTTTCTCCACATGTACTCCCCATCTGACTGTCTTTTGTTTATTTTTGATATCTGCTGTTTTTGCTTATATGCGTCCCCAAAGTCTTTCCTCCCGTACTTTGGACTTGCTCTCTGCTGTTCTCTACACAGTTTTGCCCCCACTCCTCAAGCCCCTCATTTATAGCTTCAGGAACAAGGACATCCAAAAGGCTGTGTGGAAAATGCTTAAAAAATAAATCAGAACTTGTATTTTCTTCAGACACTTTTGGTTGCAGGAATTTGGTATAAATTTCCCACATTAGAAGTAAATAAAAGAAAGAAAATATTGACATGTTTCCATCTATAAAATCTGTGAAGGATTTTGGCTTTTTCACTTTACGGGGTCTGTTTTTCATGTTATTTTTTAACCACCAATCTCTTGGAATTTATACAAAATGGAACACTGTATACCAGTTGTCTATTGAAATGGAAGAGGAGGTAGAAAAGATGTTAGGAAGCCAGTTTCACATATACTACCCTACACACATGAAACTAACCCAGCATAAAACAATAAAACAACTGTTGCTGTCAGCTCCAACTATCTTTTTATCCTGAATCAAGTTTTTGCATTTCTAAAGAGGAGGGAAAATCAGGATGTAATAAAAACTACTGAAAACTACCTTTATGGACATTTTTTATATTCTGTGTCATTTAGAAAAAAAATATTTCTAGTGGTAAGAACCTGCAGTTAATTGTGTGACCCCAGGTGGAAAAGCAGCAGACACTCCTTTTGATCAAGTCATCTTGCATCCATGTCTAAATGAAGCCAAAATTATTGAATCAGAATGTGAGAAAGGTTATGATTTATTCCAGTTATAATAATATTTCCCCAGTTCCTTGAATTTGAGGATGATACAACGATTCTTGCCTGGATTCTGGATTTTAAGAACAATCTCATATGGTATATTCTTCTATAAGTCTGAAACAACATAGTGTGTTTTTTTCACATAGGATGGGTTTACTTATTGTTCAAAATTAAGAAAAAATATGCAATTTTAAATAATGGTCTTGGAAATTATCTGGCCTATGTAAATATCAGTTTAAACAACATGGCTTCTTTATTCTGTGATAGATTCTTGTTACTAGGAGGAGTTAAAGCAGTTAAAGAATTGGGCCATTTTCTTTAGATTGCAAGTGACAGAAATCCCAATCCAACTTTATATTAACACAACTGAGAATTCATTTTTATGCTAATTGGGTCCAATAACAACACTCTTTCTCATCTCCCCCCCTCCAATTGTAAGTATCTAATTTTTCAGAAGTGTCTCATGTGGTTATTAAAAGTTGTATATTATTAACTCATTTTCAATTTGCAATCTGTTGCATATGAAACTAATGTATTTATCACACAGTAGACTTCATGAAGATAGATCACAATTTGAACATGATTTTTAAAGTGGTGGTGAAGATCTTTTTAAAAAAGAAATTTGAGGTTTTGCTAAAGATATTTATATTGTCTGTGAAAAGGAAACTAGTAAATAGGAAGTACACAAACAACCAAGTAAATATCAAAATTAATTGGCTTGGCAATGTTTGTAACAGTCTCTTTTTCAACCTCATTCTTACCCTCACTAGTTTACAAAGAAAAGTAATTCCTTGATAATAAAAATATAACAGCGAACTAAATTTACTTTAAGAAACATAGTGTATGCTGATGGAGTTTCAAATGTTTTGAAGAACTGAGAACTATATATGATATGCACAATGCATATATTTTATTAGAAACAAAAGGAGTACTCTATAATAAGGCACTGTTGTTATTGTTGTTGTTATTGTTGTTGCTGTTGTTGCTGCTGCCGTCATTGCAGCATGTCACCCCTTGGCAGCAATGAATGTAATAAAGACTGTATTTATAAAACATTTGTAAAACTTTCTAAAACTTTTTAATCAAAAAAGAAAGAAAGAAAACCTCTAAAACTGTATTTCAACACTTTTCAAATTATCCTTTCTGATTTGCTCTCACTTCTGTCTCTCACAAAAAAATAAAAATAATATTTAGATATCTTGCATATATCTAACTAATCAGTTACAAGGGTAATTAATTTCCATCTTATTTACTTATGTTAAATGGATATAAATTCTTCTTGGAATTTATTTTATAAACATACATTTAAAAAAACTAATATTGTATCAATATTGGAATGTGGAATCAATACTAGTAATTTTTTCCTTTGTTATCAAGCAATTAAGATAAGAAAGTTAACTTACTGATAACCATAATATTGTTATTATTTGCAACACTAGCAGTAAAAATGGGGAAACTGAATACTTAGATGTGGTTAAATTATGAAATGGCACTGAAATCACAACTTAAGGAAAGTTATACATATGTTGGTATTTTAGAAGCAAACAGTATCTGTATGTCCATGTGAGAAAGATAATGTTTCAAAATTGAATGTGGGTTGTGGTAATATAATTAAAGTCATTAATACTTAAGTTATTCATATAGTATTATTCAATATATATGAATATATTGCCTGAATACATATAAAACTAGATGCTTTACAATGCAGGACACATTTATGGCAATACATCATCCACTATACCCCCAAAATAACACAAGCTGTTTGTATTTACCAAGGAAAATGATGGTTGTGATTTGTTGCAACTGATGCAGGCAAGAATGAAAAACCAGATGTTTAACTGATTTCCTAACAACAAGCAAAAAAAGAGGGTAACAAAAGTTTGCAATAAAAAAAACATTGTGAACATTATAGAATCAAAGAGGCATACAAAACTGATCACCTACAATGGCAGATAGAAAATAGGAATTGTTGATACCTGAAAGAAATTGAAGGCAGGATAAAAAGAGCAAAACTAGGTCCAATTGCACCATCAATAATGAAAGGAAAGGCTGAATTTGCAGGACAAGAATAAGCACTAGCAACAAATTCTATAAAAAATTAAAAACTGGGAACAACCTCCTACATACCTTACATAGAGAAAAATGAGGTTATTGATTACCTAATCAAGGCCTGTAGTAAACCTCTTGCCTTATTATGAAAGCAGTCAAGCAAACATATATGTATTTTTTCCATCAATTCTATTCCTATACCACAATTTTTTATATTTAATCTTAAATTTTAGCTGTCAAGGCTGTGGAAGTATATTACTTTCCTCTCCTTTTTCCTTGAAAAAATTGATATGCTTGAATATGTATCATCTTTAATATAATGGGGAAAGCTGGTAGAGGTTGAAATATTGTCATCTCTGTTTTCTATTATACTTCTGGGAATCAGCCCTTGGAGAAGATTTCAGATTGCATAATGATGTCCAAATAAGTGGAATGATTACCTATGTTTTTACAAAACCTTCCTATCTTGAAGGTCTTGACTGAGTCTTCATTTCAGCCTCAGAGAAGTATTCTGCTTAGTCAGCACAACTCAAAATAATAAGATGATCTGAGACAAAAACAAAATTCTTAGAGCAAAACATTTCATTTCACTTTTATAAATCATGATAACAGTTTTCTTTCTGAATTTGTAATCATTATTTTTCCTTTTGCTTTTTATGGGAATAGAAATGATTTTAGTTAAGCTAAACTTCATTGGTTTGTGTTTAAGTTAGTTTCTTTATAGGAAACCAAGAATATGAGAAGCAAGCACTTGTCCAAAACAATGACTCTTTCCAGGAACTTGATTTGTTTACTGAAAAATGTTAGTATTTTGCTCATAATACAAGACCTTGCCCAAATAGTAGACCACAGAAATATTTATTAAAGGATCTGTTGATTTATATCTATCTTTGGATCTCTTTGCTTACTAAAAGCAGTAACCATCAGAGTACTTAAAACCAATTTTAGATTGCTTTCTAAAAGTGTAGGTTAAGCAAGCCATGGTTCCATGGTAGACTGGTGCTGGAAAATATGTCTATAATGATGTTGAATTAATCCAGACAAGCACAAGTAAGAACCCATACAAAGAATTCCATGATAGTGATAAGGACAGTAAAACATTCATTTTTCCCCATCTTTATTGTGTCAGGTGGCAGTCACCTGAAAGTCCTATTTAGTAGGACTTTGGAAGACACACAACTAACTGGAGAGTTTCTATCTAGCAGTTAAATTCACTTGGATCCACTTAGAGATAGATTTTGACTTGAATCAATGCTTGGGCAAGGCCTTGCATTATCTGGAATGAATTTAATTTTATGACTGCCTAATTCCCCAATCAACTGCCCCTGATCTAATTTCTAGCGGTTTTTGGAGCCAGTTTGTGTAACTGTACTACAATCTTTGCACAAGAACTGGAGGTCATCCATGACTTTGTGTACCTCAGCTCAACTATCTCTGACACTCTCTCTTTAGATACTAAGATGAATAAACATATTGGTAAAGAGGCCACCACATTTTCCAGACTTACAAAGAGAGTATGGCTTAATAAGAAGCTGACGGAACATACAAAGTTCCAGGTCTATAGAGCTTGCATCCTGAGCACACTCTTGTACTGCAGTGAGTCTTGGACCCTTTAGCATGGCAGGAGAGAAAGTTGAATACCTTTCATATGCGCTGTCTCCAATGTATTCTTGGCATCACCTGGCAGGACAAAGTTCCAAATAGTGCAGTCTTGGAACATGCTGGAATTTCTAGCATGTATACACTATTGAAACAGCGACATCTACACTGGCTTAGGCATGTCGTGAGAATGGCTGATGGTCAGATTCCAAAAGATCTCCTGCTGTTTTAGGACCTCTTTCCAGAGCACGATACCATTGTCTTTTGAGACTGAGGATGCCAATGATGATGGTCTAACAACACAATACACTTTAGCAATCTCCTCCTCCTCGTCCTCTTTGGAAGCATGGTTGTAGATAAAGTGCTAGACTGGAGCAGGACAGGTTTAAGTACCTAGTACCTATCCTCTCACAAACAACTAATTCATTAGTAAATTTTCTCAATTTATTGCAGTTCTGAATTTTGATTTTCTTAGAAAAAACAAGGTGTTTGGGTAACAAAGTGAAATATTTTGAAATAAAAATGAGTGTATAAATAAAAATAGTAATATTTACAAATAACATCTACATAATGGATATATCTTTAATAATCCATAGACCATGCACAGATTGTTCAAGTCAACAGCTAGACAACCAGAAAGTTTATTCAAAGTTTGTCATTCATGACCAAATATATTTGACTATCCACTTATTAAACAAAAGTGAGTACAGAGAACTGAAAACAGTAAGTTACATACAAATATCC